GGGATTAATCGCAAGAGTTCCATAGTTAACTCATGATTAATCAAATTAATTACATATATAAATGTACCATAACACAATTGTATGCATGTTTCTAATGCAACAGGATAAAAATACCTTTTATTTACAAATACACTTAATCCTAATAATGACAAATGTAATAGTCCAGAACACAAAAAAAACATATCTGTAATTCCATGAAACTAAATGTGTTCAAATCCAAAGAGCAACAGATAAAACATTTCATTCAAAATTCCCTTTTGGAGCTTATGACCGTGTTATATTGTTTTTTTCCTCATTAAGCACACCCACAAAGTAAATTTTGGCTTTATACTTGCATTTTCCAGTCTCAGCTGCTTCTTCCCATCAGTTCTGGTAATTTCTGCTAAATTATTGCAGAGGCTTATTCGAGTGGTTGCTACGTCATTAGGCTCCATCCAGGGAGTCTCAAATCCGGATACCTATTTCTAACAACTTTTCAGACCCTTTTAATGTCTGTTTTGTCCTAAAAGCATCCAGCAACAAACCTAGCAACATTATGAGGACCCTTAGCTACTTTCTGTAGAACGTTGTCGTTATGATTCCGTGCAGATTAACAAACACTCAGCCAGCTTCCAGGGGAGCCAAAAACCACTTTGGATGTGTCTTTCATGATGAAAAAACAATAAAACATGGTCAAAGCTCCTAAAAATGGATTTTGCATGACATAGTTGCTTTAAGGTTGTTGAGAGGGGATAATTGCAGGGCTGCCAACTCTCACGCACTGAGCGTGAGACACACGCATTTGACCCTCTTCACACGCTCTCATGCCACACCTCCAATCTCTCACGCTAACCCAGCGCCGGCGCACAGTATGTAGGGCTTACAAAAAAACCCAGATTATATTAATTATAGCATTAGCTACTGAACAACATGCACACAAACAACACTTAAGTATTAATTTGACTGGCATTATTTCAAACACAGAATCGCCATTGCCACGGCTGCATGCAGAAGAGTTTTAACAAAGGCAAATCATTCTAGAATCACAGAATCAGGTGTCATGTTGTTACTGCCATGGCGTAAATAATTCAAACACTGGTGTAATTTATTTTCAGCTTTTCACATATCCATCCTTTTGCCACCACCAGCAAAGCCTTTCTCGTAGCTAAATAATTTATATGCCCTGCGAAGCAATTTTGGTCATTGTTCATTCTGGCTGCAAAGAAATGTCTTCATGTAATTCTGATGTAAATGACTGAGAAGTCTATATTCATGTATATAAGATCAAATGTGCTCCAAGGTCAAGCAAAGCTAATGTGACTCAGCAGCACAGAATTAAACAATTTACATGCAAATAGAAAACAGCTACCTTGCGCATCCCTTTCAGTATAAAACTCACCTTTAGTGTCGCTATGTCCAACCACAGAAATTGGGAGTGTGTGTGTGTGCACAAAAGCAGCAGAACATTTGGTACCAAAACTCCTGTAGCATTGTTCTCCACGTGCAATGGGTCCAAGTCAGACATCTGAAGCCTCACATTACCCAAGGCTGAGTGGAAAAATGTATTCATGCCCAGAGCAGCTGTGGATTTTGTTCACTTTCACTTGAACTGAAATCACATTAAGCAGGGTCTCCTTCAGAGTCAGAGAACACTAGAGGGGCATTTAGAGCTGAACTAAAAAGTTTTTGCATGTGTAGCGATCACACTTAATAGGGTGATGATTGCAAATTAATTATGACCAATAAGATGTGATAATTCCATATAAATATGAAATATCAACCTGATTGATCTTTGAAGTTTAATCATAAGATTGTAGTTACTTGTACTTGTTCAGGGACCATAAACACACTTCGTATTAATTCAGACAGACTTAAGTATATAGATAAAAAGGAATTTTATTCTTTTCTATACTAATGATTATACATGACATAATGAGACGTGATGGAGTGGATATGCGGTGAGGGAGTGCTATGTGTAGGTGGTGTGATGTAAGCTAGATGTTTATCAGAATCTTTGTATCTGAAAGAAATTGTGAAATCTGGGTGTAAAAGAATTTGTTGTCTGCTATAAACTAGAGAGTTGATTACTAATAAAACAGCATCAGACGTGATCTGTTGTGTCTACAAACCCTGGCGGAGACCCCCAGCAGATCCGGACTGTCAGAAGTCGGGTGGACCTCACGGCACCGGGAGCCAGTAGATAAACTCCAGTACGACCTGTCCAGTCTTGAGATGTCTCCAGGTCACAGCAGTAGCTGGAATGCTTGTTTCCATCCAAAGTGGATGTGGCTCTTAGGGAGCCGTGTGGCTGTGTCAGCTTGCAGCGTGCAAACAGGTTTTGACTGTATGTCAAAAGAGATGTCTCAAGGATGCTTGTTCCGAATTGGCCGGTTCGGAAGTCCGCTAGAAACTGAGTTACTCGGGAAGTAATTCTTGTTTTATCGAGCTACTTTGTTATGATTTCTGGTGTATTCTGGCAAATCAGAATTTGCCATGTCTGGAAGGCTTTACCAAAACGTTCCTCAGAAAGCCACGCCTTCCTTCAGATACAAGATTCTTAACACTGTGAATAAGAATCTTTAAACTTTATGTGAGGTGAACCTTAACCTTAAGTTGTATCTTATGAAGATGTGTATGAGTGTAGATTATGATTAACTTGTTAAATCAAACACATACTTATCATAAGATCTGCAATTGGTCTTTGTAAGGTAATTTGGAGGAGAACGTATAACTCTTTCTCCGAGGGCAACTTTATTAGTGATATGGAGAATTTTCAGTGGGGTGAGGTACTGCAACATACAAATGCAAAGTTAGCTCTAAATAACTTTTGTAAATTTATTTTCAGCAATTTGTGACAAACATGGTCCAATAAGGAGAGTATCTGTGAAACTTAAAATATCACCCTGGTTGGGTATTGAATTAAAACAGAGTATGAAAATCAGAGATGAAAAAAAAAAAGGTGGCTGTAGTTTCAGGCAGGCCTGAAGACTGGGAAGCTTATAGGGCACTAAGGAATATGGTAACAAGGTTAAATAGGCAAAAGGAAAAACATTATTATCAGAAAAAAATTCAGCAGTATGGTAACAATGGCAAACAATTATGGAGAACCATAAATGAACTTATGGGTAGAAGCAAAACAAGAAATACAGCATCATTCACTGAAGTGGACGCAGGACTATTTATAACTAAACCTTATGAAATTGCAAGCTATTTTAATGATTACTACTTAGGCAGGGTGAGAGCAATTAGGGATGAGATGCCGTTCGCGTGTAAACAACTATCAGAAACGATAATTAAAAATAAAATAATGCATGGCGAAGAATGCCAGTTTTTGTTTAAACATGTAGAGGAAGGTAAAATGGAAAAGTTGCTAATAAATATAAATTGTGGCAAACCTTGTGGAATTGATAACATGGATGGAAGGCTTTTAAAGATTGTAGCAAAATTGTTAGCCAAACCTCTATGTCACATTTTTAATTTATGTTTTGATGAGTGTCTCTATCCTGATAGATGGAAGATCTCAAAAGTTATGCCTCTGTCTAAAAATACTAAAGAACCACTAACAGGGCAAAATAGCAGGCCGATCAGTATCTTACCAGTTCTGGGAAAATTGATGGAGGGAGTGATATTTAAACAGATTCAACATTATTTTAGTGTGAATGGCATTTACTCTGATGTTCAACATGCTAACAGAGAAGGATTTTCTACCAGTACGGCACCGACTACTCTTACTGATGAATGGTTGGGACAGATTGATAGGAAGCTGCTGGTGGAAGTAGCGCTTCTGGATTTTAGTGCTGCTTTTGATATTGTGAATCATGACATTTGACTTTTGAAACTATTAGCATATGGTTTTAACAAGACTGCTATCAATTTTATGAGTAGCTACTTAACAAATAGAAAACAATGTGTTATATTTAATGGTAGTCTGTCAAACACTGGCACTCTTTTGTGTGGGATTCCCCAAGGCAGTTGCTTGGGTCCTTTATTATACAGCATACTTGTAAATGATATGTCTTTTGCATGCAGTGAAGCACACATGACTGTATATGCGGATGATACAACCATATCTGTTTCAGCTTCAAGTTTAGTTCAGGTCAATGTTATGCTTCAACAGGAGTTAAAGTCTATCTATGAGTGGGTAAAGGGAAATAAGCTAAAACTGAATGTATGGAAAACCAAGTGTATGCTATTAGGCTCTAGGAATTTGGTAAGAAAAAAACACCAGTTAGACATCTATTTACGGGGACAACAAACTGAACAGGCAAAAGAGACCAAACTACTGGGCATAACATTGGATCAATCAATGTCATGGACTACACATATTGATAATATTGTAAAGAGAATGAGTAGGAGCATTTATGTAATTAGGAGCAATGCTCATTATATGTTACTGGAGACCAGAAAACTTGTTGTACAGTCTCTGGTTTTGTGTCATCTGGATTACTGTTCAGTTGTTTGGTCATGTTGTGTTCTCATATATTTATATTTTAGAGACTTACTTATCCGTGAAAAGTTCATCAACTCTGCATTAGCCGAGGTATTCCTCAAATTTGAAGCGTGTAAGCGATAGTCTAACGTTATTGCTTAGTTCTGGTCAGCACTCAGTTGCCTATTGCACAGAGCTCTGCGGGGCAGGAGGTGTGCTTAGTAAAAAAAATAATATTAAAATGGACTTATTGCTTTCATTATATCACAGTACATGATGAGCCAATCACTTTAAAGGATTTCTGAAAAATCATCCATAATTTCTGAAAGGGGAGTAGGGGACAATCTCCGGAAAGACGCTCAAAGTACTTTCTCTCCGATGAATACCCTTTCTGATTGTTTGGGGTAACCAGAAATGAAATAATCTGGATTCTGGAGAAGGAAAAGTGAGTTCTGCATCTGATAACAGTAAAGACCATTCATGTGTGTGTGTGTGTGGGGGGGGGGGGGGGGGGGGGGGTTCTCACCCAAACGGGGGGATGCATTCACTGTTTAGCCTGGGAGCACATGAATAAAGAATGGTAACATCCATCTCTCTATGTATTTTTTATTATCATCCTCCAAAAATCCAAGAACAGATCAGTGATGGACAATGGCTACACGCCTAAAGTTGTAAATATGTGGTTCAGGAAACTTTAGGTAAAAAACTAGGAAACACTCCTGTCTCTATTACCATTGAGAGCTTGTTAGTCCACAAAATGCATGAGGACAAAAAAAAATAAACAAGGCTTTTTCCTAAACTCTCAGTATTAGTTTGGTAAGAATGGGCAGCAACCAGTTAGAATTTGGACATTGATTTATGGCACATGAGCTGCAGAGGGCGTGAAAAAGAAGAACCAGCACTGCAAATAATAAAATATGTGATGTAATCCATATAATGGCAATAAAAACCTTTCAAAAGTTATAGGGGTTAGGAGTAGGGTGGGTACAAAGAGCCTACAAATCATGACCAATCGTAGCAGTACCAACAGACTCTGCTCTACAGGTCGGTCTAGCCACTCTCCATAGTAGTCTCCACAGGTCTATAACTTGCCCGGACAATTTCATGCCTGGCCAATCACAGTGCTCTATGTTCATAGATCAATGTTGGGTGGACTTAGTCCCAGAACTACAACAAAGAAAAACAACAAAGATGGCGTCGGCTTAGGAAAGGCGCTTGTTTGAAACATTTTTGATGCGGGCTTTTCTTTCAGACGTGAGCAGACAGAAGTACTCAAGTCATTTATAAAAAAAAATAAAAGATGTGTTTGCTTCTTCTTCTTTGACGATGTATGGCAGACTGTTCCGCAGACAGAGTTCTGTAGCAATGAATATCTCACGCTGCTTGTTGCTCTGATTGGTCCTAGAGCTGTCCAATAGCATGCAGAGTCGTGGCCAGACTATAAAAGATGGCTTGCTAGGCCAGAGTTTAACCTTCATAAATGTTATCTACACAGAACCATATTTTCTGTTGTCTTTTATTAAATAACACATTTGTACAAATATATTTCCCACAGGACATGTAATATAATAAATCTCAAACTGGTGTAAATGGCCTTGAGTGCATCTGTACAAATATTCCACAATATTCACGTTATTTATTTCACACAAAAGTAAATAAATACACTTCTGAAGTTCAAGCATTTGGATCTTTTAAAACCTAAACTCCTAGTGATTGCTGTTGGTTTTCTGGGCTGACTCGATCCAGAAAAGGCCCACTTCTTCATGATTCTTAGACGATTGTAGTCCTGCTGCAACAACCTGCAAACTGAGGCCATTAAAATTTAAAGTACAATCATGCAATTCCCTGAGAGGTTATTTAAATGTTACATTCTTGGCAGCTTCTCCACTAAATGAGCATAATCACTTATATGCTCCACAGCTTTTGAAGCTCAAAGTTTCCTTTTGGACAATTTGATGTGACATTAAAGCACCGTTTGCTCCTTTGGTCATAAACAGTCCCTACACAGTGCCACCTGTCCTTTCCGAAAGTCCCTGCAGGGACAAAGGCGTTGGTATTTGGAGCTGGAGCCGGCACAGCTGAACAGCAGCGGATCGTGCTGCAGGCTGCACTCGGCATGCTCTGCAGAGAAGGCAGGGAAGAGGTGGTTCATCTCTGACTCCAGTCCTTCACACTGAAAGTCCAGCCTGGAAACAGAGATGAGCACACAGGTAAGCAGTGTGAGGAACAACAGAAATAAACCCTTTATTTAGTTGATGTAAGAACAAAAGCCAGAGGCTTTGACGTGCATATTTATCATTTATGTTACAGTGTTTCTGTTCCTGTTGGAGAAACGGGAAATTCAAACCTTGGACAAACAAAAAGCCTGCACTTCTGCTATTTGTTGTTCTAGAGAACAATTCGGAACCTCAAACTGCAAATGAGGCATGAAACTGTTTTAGTCAAATGTATTGTGTTTGCAGAATGGGTCCAACAACACACTGAAATTTAAACTGATGGAGTAAATTACTACATTTCCTTTTTCTTACTCAGCCAACTTCAAGTTGTGCATCATTGATTCCCAGCATGAGCCAGTAGGAGTAAAGTCGAATTAAAGCTATTCATTGATTGAATGAATTCTATCTAGTGATTTTTAAATGATTAAGTTAAAGTTGCTTTGGTAAAATCTTTAAAATGACTTTACGTGATCATTTAGTGTTCAGTTTATTGTGAAAAACTTAAGTTTTAGCTTGATAAAAGTTGTTATTTCAGTCTGTGAGTTTGTTTGTTTTTATATTCATAATTCAGCAGCTTCTGCTGCTTCTTGTTCTCCGTGTCTCGGACTGTTTTGTTGATCTGTTTCCCTTCAGCCTTTGCATGGCTGCAGGCCTCACAGGGAGCATTTTTCTAAACCTGACTGAAAGCCTAGCCTAAGATAAACCTGAATCTACATCTTCTGCATTTAGCCAAGTTTGGTCCAAAAATATCCGTACAGAAATAATCTTGAAACATGTTCAATGCAGTGACGTGTCCAGACCTTTAAAATAAGGTGGCCCAGGTGGGGCACTTGCTTATCTAGGGTGGCACCTATGGTTATCTTTTCCTCTCACCAAATTGTTTTTATGCATTTCAGTGATTTTGACATCTACAAACGTGCCATTTCTTCTTCCTCCTCCTCCCCCTCGGCCAATTTTCAAGTGAGAACCTTGACTACACTCCCTTTGCACCCTTGATCTGCACTTTTCTGAAGTCCACGTTACCCACAATTCATTGCTGTGTGGGAATTTTGAGAAGGCAGAGCCATAATTCAATTGCCTTTTCTGAAAATATGAATCTTCAATTATAATGATCAAATATAGAATATTTTATGATCATGAGCATATTTTTGATCACAATCGCATGAGGATAAAACTGGTAATGTGTATTTTTGGACACGAATGCCAGTAATTTAATCACTTTTTTAACATCATTCAGCATAATTTTACAGACTGCAGAGTCCACAATACAATGTTAAGATTAAAAATGAGAAAGATCTTTTTTTTCCCCTTTCTAGTCAAGAAAGTGTTAGGGTTAGGGTTCACATTTGGAATGTGAAAAATCAAATCTGCAATATTAGAACTAAAATTTGATCATTTCATCTTTTACCCCAAAAAATTTTGTCTTCAGACGATTGATGATATTTATCCATGCTCTGAATTTTTGAGACTAAGTTTCAAAGTGGACAGCGATGAATTCCATTTTGTGAAATAACTGTTTGCTTGAAAGTTGTTAATAAAGATTAAAATAAGTAGCAAAAACAGCCATCGGCATCCCGTGTGATTTCACACTTGCACATTGTGTACTACACACTCGAAGCCTTACTACGCTAAGCAAGTGCATTATAAAGGCCGTAGGATTCATTGTGAGTACTGAGACAGGGTCCTCTTCTTTGAACTGATAGACTGATTGTGTTGTAAAGTGCCTTGGGGGGCTCCAGGACTCTAGAAGGTGCTATATCAAATACAGGCCATTCACCATTTTACATGCTTACAAGCCTTTTGTGGACAATGTTAAGTCAATGGAACTCAGAGAGGGGGCACCTGGGGGGGGGGGGGGGGGGGGGGGGGGTCTAATCCATTCCAAGGGTGACATGTGCTACCCCAGGCCACAACATGGACACGCCCCTGTTCAAAAACATTTTTCCAGCTGTGGAACTACAGCTACTTGCTCAAATGTAGAGTACTGTACATTGTTATACATTATGCTGCATACATGCATAACATGCATAAACATGTTGTACATCTCACGCGCTAAAGGCTTCCTTGATGTTGATAAAACGATAGAAGGCGGGTTCACAGATTAGCCCTTCAGTCCAGCATGCCTCCACGCACGACTGGCCCTGCTGTGATGACAAAAGCCGTAGAGCAGAAAGAGGAGGCCACGAAGACAAAGAGCTGACATTGGAGGCCCAGATCAGGATTCTGGAGTCGGGCACGGGAGTGAACGGACCTCTGAGCAGAGCCCAGGATGAATTCACAGGAGGGAACGGAACCTCGGGGGAACAAAAGCTCTGCAGATTGAGAAGTGAAACACCACAGATTAGTAACATGCTTCTGGTAAATTTAATCAAATCAGTTTATTCAGCTTGTCCAACTTCTACACCTGAGCGGCTAATTTGAAAATAAGTTATTTAAACGACTATAACTTGTGGTTAAATACAAGTGACAGAGATTCCACTTCACTGGAAATTAAAATGGTGAGCAAAACTGAAAAGTCCTTCCAGAAAGTAATATGGATGCAGAAACGTCTCAGAATTACAAATGAGATGTTGAGGCGGAAATCTGCTCTGGTGAGCAGTCAGATTAAAGCCCCCACCCCCTCCAGCTGGGCCTATTAATAAAACCCAGGTAATAACATTTCTCTGACATGTCCCCCTGGCCTCTAGACCCGTTTATTAAACAAGCTCCTTGTGCCCACAGGCAATAACTGAGGTTCCAATCTCCCAATCTGAGCTACACTTCCTTCTCTCTCTTTCTCTCTCTCTCTCTCTCTTTCTCTCTCTCTCTCTTTCTCTCTCTCTCTCTCTCTCTCTCTCTCTCTCTCTCTCTCTCTCTCTCTCTCTCTCTCTCTCTCTCTCTCACACACACACACACACAAACACACGTGGAGATAAACATCTTTTTTTCAATCATTACTTCTGTTGAAGCAGAATTTCATGCATTGACCCTTGTTATGTAATTGCGAGCTAAAAGTATGCCTTTCAGAGTCTGTTATAAATCATCACAGATGTACATCTTCCTGTGCTACTCAACAAATCAGACATGAATAAAAATGTGATGTTTTAATATTAATACAATTGGAGGCTGGAAGGGTCACAAATGACGAATTTTTCCAAAAATACATTATTTCTGGTTGAATTCACATTTATGGATCTGACCGCCCCAGCAAGCAAGACGGATGAAGTGTCTTGCTCAAGACGGTGACTGGCATGAACAGAGCCTGGATTCGAACTTGCAGCCCACTGGCTACAGGGCGAATTCCACCATGCTGCTAATGCAAATCAATGCAGCTAAGTGTTCAACCTGACCGAGCACATCTTCGTTCTAGCTAACATTAGATACAGAACGCTTACAAAATAATGTGTGACAGGAGAACATCGTTGTACTGTTAGGGACAGTTTTGATACTTAAATCTTAAATTTGATTATAAATCAGTAAATTTAAGCAACGTTAAACTCAAAAATAATTTGGTGCAAATAGTGGAAGTAGTCGCTGTTTCTAAAATGTCTAAAATTGTGGTTCCCAGCTTGCAGAAGTTTCAAACTTCTTTGAATTTTTTGTGTAACAATTTTCCTCTCATAACTAGCAGCAGGTCATTTCAAACCTTACTTATGAGGCAGAAAGTGTGAAAATGTGAAAACTTTGGAAGAGATTTTGTGAACAAACTGGGAATAAAATGGGGGTAAATTGGAGCTAGTTAAAGATATTCAATGGTTAAAATAAGACTCCTGTAGAGAAACCTTACATTTACAGCACGTGTACGCACACAGATGCTCACATGGTGCTCTCATAAGTACGGACTTGGGCATTTTCAACACATTCCTTAAGGTTGTGGTTGGCACTAAATGCACTGTGATTTATTATTGTGTGATTGTTCAGTAAAACAAAGTTGATAGAATATCAAGCAGATTGATCTTTGAATGTTTAACCAGAAGAATTTAGGATTCTTTGCTTATTCAGGGACCATAAACACACGTCGTATTAATTCAGACAGAGTCAGTATATAATAAAAAAAAAACTTTATTTTCTAGACTAATTATAATACATGACAAGCTATGAATGATATGTGATGGAATGTGATGTGTGATGTGATGTATATCAGAACCTTTGTATCTGGAAGAAACTGTGAGTTCTGGGTGTAAAAGAATTTGGTCTGCTATAAACTAGAGCAGGGGTGTCAAACTCAAATTCACACGGGGCCGAAATGAAACTCTGGGACGGAGTCGAGGGCCAAACTTAATATTTTTGAAAAAGTGACGGCAAATTTGCGCATTTTCTTTATCAACATATATGCAATTTTGAACCTTTAAATTTGGAAACAAACTTATTTCTGCATTAACACTGAATGTGGAATAACCAAATTACACACGAGCAAGTCAGTTTGAAATAAAAGGCATCAGTGGTATTCATTACTTGTGGTATAATCAGCATTTTATAAATCTATTCAGTTTTCTTGTTTATTCATTTTTCTTATTTTTTTCTTCTCCTTTTTTTCTCCTGTAATAAGTGTCATCGCTGCTGTGACGTCTAGCTTTCCCCACTGAGGAACAATAAAGGGATTTTCTATTCTATTCATCTATCTGCAGCCTTTCCACTTCCTGTTTACTGTAGGTTAAATATTTTCTCACGGGCCAACAACAAAATAAAAATATAATTTCATCTTAAACGAAAATGCAACATCTCACCTGCTAACTTTCATTTGGAGCAGAAAAAGAGCATAAAACCAACATATTTAAAGCTCAGTTTGCTCTACTGGTTTACTGTGATGCTCACCTGTTCCAGCCAGATTCCTGCATCATGGGGTTGACCTGAGCTGAGGAGGAGACTCCTGTTGTTTTGTTCATCTTCATCATAATAATGACAACATTAGATGAGAACAGGTGCTCACAAAGGTTTGTGCTGCCGAACATGTCTGAGCAGCTTGACCACGTTGTTGTGTGTCAGGGAGGAAACACAACGACAGCAGCCACAGAGTCATGCTGGTTTGAGCGTGTCGCTGTTCGCTGGAGTTATATCGGCTCTGTCTGGACGTTAGTTGGAAAACTTTCTCGTTCAGTCGTGAACACATTACTGAGCGGCTAGAATCACCGTTTCTGGGCTTCAACGTTAGAAAATAGCTGAGTGAACTCGGGGCTGAGTGAGAGGAGTGTTTAGTTTGTCCGTGACAGCGGAGCTGCAGACACCAGCAACAGGCGCTGAAAAAACACAGAGGGGGCGCGTCGGCGCCGCAAAGCATCATGGGAGTTGAAGTCTTTGCGGTAAAATCGGCCAGCGGGCCAGTTTTAATATATTTTTGATATTTATCTCGCGGGCCACATAAAAATGCTCCGCGGGCCGCATCTGGGCCGTGGGCCTTGACTCTGACATATGTGAACTAGAGAGTTGATTTAAAACAACATCAGACGCAATCTGTTGTGTCTACAAACCCTGATGGAGACCCCCATTAAGAACCGGAATGTCAAGAAGTCTGGGTGACCTCAAGGCACCGAAGTTCGTAGAATAACTGCAGAACGACCAGACCGGTCTCAAGTTGTCTCCAGGTCACAACAGGCATGAAGGTTGGTTGCTTCTAAGAGGGATGGACTTTTAAGGAGTCGTGCAGCTGTGTCAGCTGTCTGTAGGTGACCGGTCGCTATGTGGTCAATTTATAGGTCAAAATTGACCCTTTCTGGATGCTACAATTTTATATTTCCTCATCAGGTTGACGCAGTGATAGCTTGCTATTGTTGTGTTGTTGTGTGTTTATTTTCTCTTTCTGCAGGTCTAGAAGCTTGCTTTTTTTTGTGGACCCCCCAGAAGCTTTAACGCTCCACCTGAGAGTAAAGTTGTAAGGCTTGTCATCAGCATTCAGACATCAAATCCATTTGCTTCACAGCCAGACTGGACATGGAAAAAATAAATAAAATAAAATAAGACTAGACAAACTTGTACAAATCTCCCAATTTGCTTCTCATTCAATTTTTCCACACACATTGACTTAAAACTAAGGCAGTAATGTGATGTCATCATGGAGGAGGACATTTTGAAATCTTAATTGCGACCATGAATAGATGATGCAATCCATTCGCACTAATCCACTTATCTCCTCAGCTGTCATTGGGTTCAGCAGGAGCTGCTAATCATTAGATTTAATCAAATTTGTAGTATTCAAGCAGGGAAACTAAAACTAGCTTGAATCTTGCAACGCTAGCACACCCCTGCTAACGCCACAACAAGCTAAAATAGTAGTCTGAAGTAGTGCAAGGTTTAATGCTACACTAGTCAAAGTCAAAGACAAATCCCTTTACATTCCCTTATCTGCTCTTCCATTGCTAGCTTGTAGTTTACAGACTGATATTAATTCAATGCAGGTCGAATTAGCATTCAAGCTAGATTGGTGTGCTAATATGGAGTGTGTGCTGGGAAATGGGCCATATTCTTGCTCTTGTGGATGCACAATTGGTCATTGCTCTAGGCTTGTGTAAATTACTTGTTTTGCTGAAGAGGCCAGGGGAGGGACTAAGAGGAAATGTAAATTATAAAGATTTCCTACCTTTTATCATAGAACAGGATCAGATAGTCAAAGTGTTTGTGTGGTTATTTTAAACTACTTTCTCAAGCTTTAACCAAGTGGTTTTACTGAATGTAAGTGGATGTCAGTCAGCAGATCCACGATCAAGTTTTGTTACATCAAATACCAGAAAAGGGTTTTAATGTGTTACACATTAGAAAACAATCAAATGTAAAATTTGAATCATCACTATAGCGTCATGAATGTCCTGTTTTTGACCTAAAGGTCATGATCTGCTGTGTCTGCTCGAGCAGAGATATAAAGTCTCTGACAGCCTAATCTACATGAGATAGTGGCCAAGGTCTTTCATGCACTCTGCTCATCTAAACTGCTTCACCTCTGTTACAGCGAAGACGAAGAACTATTTTGATAAATACATAAACAACTTTGTTAATTACCAATAATAATGTGAGCCCAATGTTCATTCTGTGAAATGACAATGTTTATTACTTAATATTATAATCCTTTGATCAACAGTATTTTACAAGTAATCATAATCTTGGACATTTGCACTAGACACTAATGACACGTAATGCTAAAAGCCACACGACACATTTCCTTTTGTCTGATCCAATCAGAACCTTCGCATTCTCGGGCTAGGCGTGGTTAAGTGTGGTGTTTGTATAAACCCTCTTTGCATCTCAAATTCTGATTCGCCAGTAAACCAAAATATGACAATTATAAAAACTATCCCATGCCACCTTTTTTTTAGTTCAAGCGTTCTAGAGAAGTCTCAGACAGGCCACCCGGACTTCCTCTTCAGCCATAAAGAACCTCAGACAAGCTGGAAAAAATCTGTTGCAAGTTACAACTGACCACAACGGTTCCTTTAGAATAAAAGCTAAACCTCACGACCCCTTCAGGGTCTCGGAGACACCAGCGATAACCTGTCGTGACCTGGAAGCATTCCAAGACTAGTTTGGTCGGCACCGCTGCTTTTCTACCGGCTTTGGTACCAAAGAGGGTCCACGAGGACCTCAGCATTCTGCATCTGATCGGAGGCTTCCCCTGGGTATGTAGACCGACAGATGGCGTTTCATGCGGGTTATAAATCTCCTACTAAAGTTTAGAGCAAATAACTAACTGCTTCTCCGGATCCGCTGGTTCTGAAAAAAACTCCACACACACATACACCATCATCATTCATCACGTCTCACTCCACCTTAGTCCATCAGTACACAGAGTGTTTAAGTTAAGCCTGGTTTATGCTTCTCCGTCAGCTCCGCAAGGGACAGACATGCACGGATTGACGGAAGCGTTTTGCTCTTTTACTTCTCAGTCTCCTGGAGAGTGTTGCAAAGCAATTGTCCAGCAGGACCACAGAGGGCGTAGCGCTGTTCTGTGGTATCCTGTCATGTATCGGTCCAAGATCGTGTGTTTATATTGTGTTTTTTGTGTATATAAGAGACTTTTAACACGGACATATTTGTCTCTCATTCTCCCACCGCTTCATGCGCTCCCCACCTCCAAACCAACATTTCCTGTCATTTCCGTCCACAAATAAAACGCTTGCTGTGCATCTTCTCACTCCTCCAGTCACGAGAGAATTAAACGTTCATATTTTTAGAGTTTTTTCGCGAGGTATTCTTCAAGCTTCTCCGTGTCTGCCGCTAGTTATCCTCGGCTCTCTGCAATGGCGGCGCTGTAAACAACAGCGGCGTCCTGACCAATCACAAGCTTACGTAATCCGTCTCGTTCGACGGATGTTTAAAAAAGTGGCCTAGACTCCGTACGTACTTGCGTGCCTGCCGGAGCCCTACGCAAGGACGGGCAATGGCGTTGCGTGTCTCCGCACTGACGCAGGCGGAGAAGCATAAATCAGGCTTTAGTCTTGTTTCAATTGTGTAGAAATAAATTTCTTAACTATTTTAAACCTGACTCTCTCTCTCTTTCCTTGGAGGTAATACGAAGTGTCACTTAAACCCTGCAATAAAAAGTTCAGATCTTCTGGTTAAAATAGTCAAAGATCAATCAGATTGATATTTCATATTTCTATGGAATCTCACATTTTATGGTTCATAAGTAAGATGTAAACGACCCATTCTTTACATCACTCAGAAAGGAGTTAACTTTCTCAAGATTAGGTAGTGTGATGGTGACAAAGAGACTAGAGCTCAGAGAGACAAGATGATGACTTGGTCAGAAACAGAAAGTCAAGACAAAGAAGAAAAAGTGGAAGAAAGAAAAGGTAGGGCAATCTGATTGGGAGTCTTTGCTCGTACAACCTGGGAGGCTCACGGTCTCAGTCAGTCACAGCACATTGAGCGTGAGTGTTTGTGTTATTTTTGACACTGTAGGATGAGACGGTGGTGGAGCAAAACAGGCTAACACTTCCTTAACCTGTTACTGCCACACAAAACCATCACGACAAGGCAGGAACCACAATGAACAACAACATCTGTAAATGACAAGCATTAAAATCAGTCTGAGTGTGTGTCTGGCTCTTCTTATCTTTTGAAGACTTTTTCTAGTATCAAACAGTCTTTGACAGGACTGGTAGACCACCTGAGGATCAAAGTCAGGTCCTAAAAGTGTGATTTGTCTGGTAGGTATGACATGTACTGGTGCATTGTATTGAGAAAGTAACATCACAGTCCAAAACCCTGCCTAGTGTGTGATGAGTTTGTAGCCCATTCCAGTCTTGCATCCTTGGAAAGCTCTTTGGTCTTACCCATGGGTTAGAGATCTGGAAAGACTGATGGACATGTGTCTTTGATACAGGTAACACATTTAGAAGGCTCCTAATGTGAACTTGTTACCAGTAAAAATATATTTAGAACAAAGTTTGCATTAGAAGTAAATTAAACCATCCATCCATCCATCTTCATCCACTTATCCAGAGTCGGGTCACTTTCCAGCACCCCCTCCAAGGTCTCTAAAAAGGGTGGGTATTCCTAACTGTAGTTTGGTGCACAAGCACAGACCAGTCAGAACCTGTCCCCCCACACGTAGGCGGAGGGAGGCTACCCTTTCATTCACTGGGGTAAACTCCAACATACAGGCACCAAGATGGGGGGCAACTAGTATGCCCACCCTTGCTCGGCGCCTCTAAGTGGGAGCAACTCCAGAGTGGTAGAAAGTCCAGCCCCTCTCAAGGAAACTGGTTCCAGAGCCAAAGACATGCGTTGAGGTGAGTCCGACTATATCTAGTCGGAACCTCTTAACCTCACACACCAACTCAGGCTCCTTCCTCACCAGAGAGGTGACATTCCATGTGCCAAGAGCCAGCTTCTGTAGCCGAGGGTCAGACCGCCAAGATCCCCGCCCTCGACTACCACTGTTGTAACAACCACCGGTCACACACTGCAACCGACCCCTTTGGCCCCTCCCACTAGTGGTGAGCCCATGGGAAGGGGAACCCATGTTTCCTCTTTGGGCTGTGCTCAGCCGGACTCCATGGGTGAAAGCCCGGCCATCAGGCGCTCGCCAACGTGCCCCACCTCCAGGCCTGGCTCCAGAGGGGGACCCTAGTGACCCACATCCGGGCGAGGGAATACAGTTTCCATTTATATAATTCATCATAAGAGGTCTTTGGGCTGCTCTTTGTCTGATAACTCACCTAGGACCTGTTTGCCATGGGTGACCTTACCAGAGGCAGAAAGCCTCAGACAACTTAGATCCTAGGATCACTGAGACACTCCACCATGGTAAGGTGGCAGCCCAGGGAGTAAATCAAACCGTGCTTTTATTTGCCCGTGCTTTCCTCTACAAACAGTACAAAACTGGACCTGGTTGTTTTGCATAAATCTGCTTTTAAGTTGTTCAGAAAAGATATACCATAATCCAAGTCAAAAAGAGGACAACATTTTATATTACAAATGAATGATAAATGACCCGCACTTGTATAGCGCCTCTCAGATTAAGGACTCCAAAGCGCCTTACACTACAGTGTATCATTCATCCATTCACACGGACATTCACACACTGATGGTGATGAGCTACGACGTAGCCACAGCTGCACTGGGGCGCACTGACAGTCTAGTGAAGCCACCCCTAGCCCTAACCCTAACCGGTGAGACACTTTAACCTAGAAACCCACCTGATTCTGAATGTAGGTGTGAACTCTTTCGAGCATCCCCTCGCACGTGTACTCATAGGGCAGGAATGGCTCCACCTGTAAATGCAGAAATGTACAAAGAAAAAAGACAGGATATCAGCTGATGTGTGTGTGTGTGTGTGTGTGTGTGTGTGTGTGTGTGTGTGTGTGTGTGTGTGTGTGTGTGTGTGTGTGTGTGTGTGTGTGTGTGTGTGTGTGTACAACCGAGCCATTGTAATTACAGGAAGTGAGCATCTGATAGTTAATCCAAGTTGACATATTCATTAGCGTAATTGTGGAAGGCTTATATCATGCCACAAGCTTCCCATTAAAATCAATGACCTAATACATCAAAGATGGCAGCTTTGAAAATTAATTTCATTATTTTTTTGCGATGACTGCATCGATACGTCAAACAAGGGATTACACTGACAGCCAACGACGGGCCGTTGAGCGCCAAGGATGGCGTTTTGGTGGCTTTATCTGTGTTTACGTTGAAGGCTGTCACTCATCATCTGATTCCTTACAGCAGAAACTGGTTTAAACACTCTGAGAAAAAAAAGCTGATGAATAATCCTTCCTTTTTCGCTCTGGAATTTCATCCCAACAGTCCTATACAGAACAGCAGAGGCAGGAAAAAGGCTCTTGATGTGGAAAAATGAGTCCAAGCTAATATCTTTGGTGATAGATGTAAAATTTTTTAAAACCTTTGGTGGTTTGAGGATATCAGTAATTGTGAAATATAGCAGAAAATAATCCATTCTGCTTGGTTTCCCAAGTCGATCCTCTCCGAGACGACTCCCATGGTGGCTCAACTGATATCTCATTGTTTACTATGCCACCAACGCACTCGGGCTTTTAAATAGATAAATAGTTCATTTTACTGTTATGTTCCTTTTAGCTCTCTCTTATTACTTGATTTCATCTGAGTTTAATGAAATGTATCTGGCACTTCATCAGCTATCCAACATTAGCCTTTTGGGCAGCTTCATATGAGAGAGTGAGTGGAGAAAAGATAAAGAGAAAAAGCCTTACTCTTTGAATTCAGATGGAAAAAAAACATTCACTGACTGATGATAAATTATACAACTGACTTCATCTCCTGGCCTTGAAATTGTGTGGGAAACGTCTATTATTTCCTGCCTTCACGGATAATATTAAAGTAAGTGTGTAAGGCTAGTTTAGACGTAGCAGCCTAACCAGAAAACAAACAGCTAGTGTAGAGGATCAGGCAGGTGGTAGGCCCTTCAGGACCTCAGTTTAGGTTGAGACCACAGTTTCAGTCAATATTATTTTAAAGAATATTTTAAAAGCCCATTAGAAATTCAAATAGAAGAAAAATTAAAGAATCCAGTTTAGTTATCTTTTTATGAGTCTTTTGTTTGGCAATATTTCGATTATTGAGTTTAACTTAGTTCTGCTCTTGGTTTTCATTTTTGCAATTATTACTAAAAAGTCCCCCCAGTCCCTGTTCTCAGCTCCTTACAAACATATGTATTCAGTAATCCCTGCTACCAGTATCTATCTATCTATCTATCTATCTATCTATCTATCTATCTATCTATCTATCTATCTATCTGTCTGTCTGTCTGTCTGTCTGTCTGTCTGTCTGTCTGTCTGTCTGTCTGTCTGTCTGTCTGTCTGTCTGTCTGTCTGTCTGTCTGTCTATCTATCTATCTATCTATCTATCTATATATATCAACAGCATAACGTGACAATAATAATTGTAAAAAGCTGTGTTTTAGCTCTTTTGCCCGACCAGAAGTGCGTATTTGCAAACATGAGTGCTTCCAGCTGTAATCATGGAAGAAGGGGGAGGGGCTTAAAGCCTGGGGCACATCAGAGACAGACGCGCTGCATCGCGCACGCGGTTTTTAGAAGGCAAGTGGCCACACAGGACGCGCCACGCCGCACCGCTCGCTCGGCGCTTCTTAGAAAGCCGCGCGATAGTCACAACATCACACAGGACTTAAGAACAGGAAGCGGGAAGTGACTATTGTTTATACTTGCAGTCGTATTTTGTGACACTAATTCATTTAAAATGGATAAGTACGCTCTTTAGCAGAATAGTACTTTAAAGTTATGAAAACTGCGGCTGGGTTTGTGCCGTAAAGCCGTTCCGCGTCATAATGTCTGTTGTAAAGCAATCCACAATGATGTTTGAGAAGATAGAACTGGCGCCTACCTTTAGTGCCTCGGCGTGGCGCTTCTGGGATGCGGAGCGGCACTCCCCGTGTAACCACTCTCATTAACTATAATGGTTTCTATTTCAAATGATGGCACTGTGCATGTCTCTGCTGTGGCCTAGGCTTAAGGTGTAATACATTGTTTCTGCCTCTAAAAGAAAAACACTCCGAATTTCTGCTTTTATGTTGTTCAGGGCTGTTGGTGTCCATCACGGTGGTCAAAGGGCGACAGGTGAGTGTTTTAAAACGTTAAACTCTCTCTTTCTCTCTCTGCCATCTGATAATTAAGAATTGTTTGTTTGTGTATATTTGTGTCCCAAATTGAGGTCAATCGATATAGTTTTTTTCTAATGCCAATACCAATGCTGATAGACAGAGGTCATGGTCAGGCGATGACTGATATGTGCTGCCGATTTCCATGTCATCTTGGTGTTTTCCGTGTTATTTGCCTGTTAAAATGTCACTAATTTCATCAGTTGATGCACAAGATTACTGAAGCTTAATCAGTTTCTGACAACTGTTAAATTACTGCTCAGTGTTAAAATTAAACTTCAAAAACAAGTTAACCAAACAAATCAATGAACTGACCGATTACCGAATAATCTAAACTGGCCAATAAAAATAAATTCTTGTTGAAAATTAATTTTTAGAACATTTTTCATGCTGATGTTATTCAGGAACATAAATAAACATTTAAAATAAAATCTGCAGCAGCACCTGGCTGCCTGGGATGCGCCTGACTTTAAATTGGCTTCACTTTGGAGGAATACCGGTGTCGGTACAGGATCAGCTCGGGGTCCTTCGACTGCCGATGACGGCACATTACTGCAAATCTACTCGGCTTTCACACACACGTTTTGGAAAGACAACAGCAGTTTTGTTAAATTCTTTTTTGTTAACACCTAAATGTTTTCTTTCTAATTGTAATTTGTTAATAAAACACCACATTATCTTTGTTTTCTAAAGAATGTGAAACTGCATAAAACCAACATCGGACAGACAAAAAAAAATACATTCTTTGACTCAAACTATTGCTTGGTGTCTTTCAATAAGTTATTATATTTTATATTGCCCCATTTCATCAGCATCAAGAGCTTTTGAGGGTCACCGTTTATCGTTTGCTTATATTTTACATTTCCTTTAGAAACTCAAACATATTTTCTCCAAAAAGTGTTGATTTTTGGACTACAGGACTACAATTGCTAAGACTACAACCACACATTTGTTCTGACCAATCAAAATCATAACATGATAACGTCACTTCCGTAAGCTTCATGTTCAGCTAATCAACAATTTGACGTCATCGGCAGTGGAAAGACCCCGAGCCGATCCTGTACCGACACCGGCCAATGCTGATATATAAAAATGCTAAATTTTGACGTGATTAATCAGCCGAACGATAAATCGGTGTACTCCTAGTTCCAGCCAAGCTACCCAAGCCATTCTCTGCATGACTCTGCACACTGGAAAGAAAACACTTGTTTTTTCCACTATCCATTCAATATCACATCTAAAGCCTATTGATAAAAATAACTGCAAAAAATAAAATTAAATTAAAAAGAATCAAAATGTAACCAAGTTGCCTAGCAACACAGGCATGCTCCGGCAAACTAGTGAATAATTAGCCCGACACAGACCCTTTGTGAACTGGAGCATTTAGCTTTTGGTTGAGGAAAAACACAAAGTGTGATGTTTTAATGAGACAGCTTTGAAAGGACTGCAGGGTAGAGTTTGTTACAGATCAAGGTTTGCGGTTTGGAGTTTTTATGTTGGACAAAACTGATCAGCTGATTGAGTTAACCTATATTAATCTATTTCAACTATCTGAACTGTGTATAGGTGAAATTGTGTCTTATTGTAATTTTTTAGCTTGTATTTCCACTAATAGATGCATAATTTCATTGAAAAGGGGAAATCCCGTTTAACATTAATAAAAGCTTCCCAACACAATGCTTTGTTGGGCTGTCTCCATTAGTCCACATCACATTATGCAGTGCAGTGCTCTGTTTGTAACAGTTGCTTTTCCTTCTCCCTTGAATCAACTTTTGAAGTATTTACCAGAACCACGACTCATACTTTGTTTTGCCTCTATCAGCAGGAAACAGCCTTTTCCTAAAACACCTGGCAGGTAGGAGCACGCATGCATCTTGGCACCTCGAGAGGCTTTGGTAGTGACTCTGCGTTGTTCTGCTGACAGATTGAGAACAGTGTGATTGATTAATTCGACTTAATGCAAACAATGCTCGCTGCCTGTGGGGCTGGCCTCTGGAAAGCTGCTGTGTAAAAAACCAGGTGTGGGTACATTTAACCAACCGAGCCACTCAATATCTCCAGCAATTAGGAGTGCAGAGAGCAGAGAAGGAGCCAGCTAAGCATTTTGCTGTAATGTCAGATTCCACGATTAAGGTCTCGATTAAAGTGGGTCGAACCAGACTGAATGTAACGAAGCTCATTATGCTTTCACCTATGCTAATGAGCCATGGTGCTATATTAATGCAAACATTTGTTTGAAGGAAGAGAGCAAGGCAAACATGTTTACAATGCATAAAAATTAACATACATTGAGCTTCATGATTTCGCGGATGGTTGCGTCAAACTCTTCAGAGTTGTTGAAGTCAACGGTGATGACGTGCGGCCTGCCGATGTGCTGCTCTGCATATGGATGCTGAGAGGACACCTGAGGGAGGCAGAAACAGCTTCCATTAAGAAAATCAGTCATGACGGCAGTTTGATAAGGATGGTGAGTTCTCAAATGGACTTCTATTATAGCTGCGTGTGTTCATTACTTTGTTTCTATTCTGGATTTTTATTGACGTACACCAAGAGGTGGTTAGAGAGGGTCTTTTCTTACAAATCACATGATTTGTACGGATTTTTAAACCCAACAAAGTAGCAATTTTTCTTGGTGATTAGTTACTTTTATAATCTTGTAACTCAGTAAGAGTTACTTTTTTGACAAAGTAATTAGTAACTATAACTAATTACTTTTTTAAAGTAACGTTCCCAACACTCCTCACACAATACCTCACCGGGAGGCGCCCTAACCAGATGCATGGACCACCTCAACAGGATGTGGAGGAGCAGCGGAGCTACTCTCAGCTAGCTCTCAGCACGGGGAAGTAAAACCATCCACGCAAAAGTTCTGCCGTTGCTACCATGAATGAGTGCATAGTACAGATGAGACTTGTATTTTTATGTTGTGTTTGACAATTTTGCATCCATTTACCAAAGAAAAGGTAAAGAAATCTGGTTATTAATTTGTTTTAATTGAGGTGATCATTTCAAATCAACTGTAGGGTAGATCAGTAGTTTAAAACTCCTACATGAAATGTAGAAGATTGATAAACCCTCAAGGACTGCTCGCCCTTTATATGTTGTTAGGGCATCACTTTTATTCATTTACCTGGCTGGCATGTCACTCGTAAAAATAGCAATAGAAGTAAAATGTAAACATATAAATATGAAGTAAAAAAAATACTTAATGATGTTGGAGATAAAAAATTGAAGCCACAATGTAATGGTGAACAAAAGTGTAAAGGCTTCCAGAGAAATTAGTAGCCGCAACTAGCTGATTATCAACATGCAAACACCTCTATCGAAACATGTTCATTTTTAAAGAGCAAGTCACCCCCAAATCAACTTTTTTTTCTGATAAGCTATATAAATGCATGTCTAATTGTGCCGCAGACACGTGTAGTCAATAGTTTTGTACTTCAGTGCATTTTAGTTAAAATTTTTATTTTCTGCTTAAAACTGTCAGTGTTGTGCCGTTGTCAGGTAAAAACTCTGCACTGCATTTGAATTTAAATCTGAAATCGCTATTAGCTAAGAGGTACCCTAGAACGTTAGCTGGTACCATATGATGTCACAATGTCGTTGTGAGCCTGTGTGTGTGTTTGTTAGCGGCTATGCCCCCTCGGTCTGCTAGGCAACACCATTTGTTGCATTTTTCAAACAGGAAGTGGGAGTGGAGTAATACTCTGGGAGGGGGTGACTTGCTCTTTAAAAACAATAATTCAAACAGTTTCTTAAAGGGACTTTATGGAGTTTTGAATTTTTATGCTCTCAATTGCCCCCTCAGGCCAAAAGCGTAACGGCAGCTTCAATAGTAGGCTCGTGCACAAGGCGCACATGCTGTACCTGCACACTCCTTAACAAAAATAACAGCTGAGACAGTCCCGTGTGTGTGTGTGTGTGTGTGTGTGTGTGTGTGTGTGTGTGTGTGTGTGTGTGTGTGTGTGTGTGTGTGTGTGTGTGTGTGTGTGTGTGACCCGGAGGACAGAGGACAGGAGAACTCGCAGCTAATTAATTAAATAATTTGGTTCTGTACCTTTCTCTTCAGCACAGCCGACAAAGGTTTAAGATGGGTCAGTCCTCCTGCATGCTCAGATCATTCCCTTCCCTTGCTTGAAAAATAGTTCCAAAATGAAAGTTGAACCCACATCTTTTTTATCTGTGAATTCAATGCCGTTCGGCGAGTCTCAAATAAAAATTGGGGCATATTACTGTAAAAAAATATACCATTAATGTAAAAAAAGAAACTCTAAATAAACTATTTTCACGTCCAGAGTCAAACCCAGGACTTCTGCACGAGAGTCCAACGTCTCACTAGGTGAGCTAAAGCGCCAGTGATGTCCTTTGAATCTGTAACATTTATATCCTTGATGACAGCTGCAACAACGTTCAAAGAACGGTTCGGAGCGAAAATGGCTATTTTGTTGCTAATTTGCAGGAAATATCTAGAAGAAAGTTCCACAGAAAGTAGCTAAGGGTCCTCAGAAATGTAGCTAGCTTTGTCACTAGGCGTTAGGAACAGCGACAAAGTTGCACTGTCCTCTCTCTGCTGCTAAGCTACGGATAGCAAATGCTACGGGCTATGCCTGAGCGTGAACGCGCATGAAGCAGCCTGCTCGACCCGAGCAGCTCTCTTTTTCTGTGATTTTACAGAAAAACTGGCAATCACAGTAAAAATGCCAGGGCTCATTCTACAGGACCAGGGCATTGCAGGAGAATGTATGAAGAAGAAATTTATTATTTCTATACATGTTTTGGCTGTCAAACTTCCATAATGCCCCTTTAACATCCTAGAGAGAAAGAGCCCAGCAGGTTTAGTCTGAGGTTAGAACCATTAAAGCAAAAGACCCACAATCATTTAAAGAAAAACAATATTTCATGGAGGATTTTTTTAAGAGGGAAGTGTGGAATAAATATGGTGCTATTGTGAAAGACAATATTTTTATTAAATCAGCCAGTGCCGAGTTTTACTAAATATAATTCTAAATGAACGTTAGAGGTTCGTTTTCTGTGTTCATACCATCTCTTGTGCTGTGGACAGTGGTGTAGACTCTGATTATAAATAACGTCCACTTGCAAGAGGGAGCCAGATGAAAAGTTTATGAAGTGATGAAGGCCATAGGTTATTTGATTCTGGGGATCTGATGTGTTGCAGAGAAACATGGAGAGAAATAAAGCTGTAAGAACTGTCAGGACAGCGTTGGAGAGGAGGTGAGATGAGTGAAAGATACGAGAGACAGCATCTCCAACATGAGATGGAGGAAGCAGATGTTATTTTCTTTTAAGCAATTTTACAGTTTTTATCTGCAGCAAGGTAGCAAGAGTAAAGGGCTGAGAAGGGAACGCTTATGAAAAACAATGTTTTGCAGAATTTGTGAAAATTATATGTGATTTGAGTAGCAGGGGACCTGTGATTTAGGAGAGCTCATGTAACCCCAACTGGTTTTACATTTTGAGTGTTAAAGTTTATAGCTGTAGAGCTACAGTCTGAACAGGAGTTGCTGAGTGTGGAATGAGGTTGTATCTGACTGCAAAAAGTAGGAATGTTCTGTAATTTTCCTCATTTTTCATGAGTGTGAGCAAAAACCAAAACGAACCCAGCGATTGTTCCTTGGACCTTTGTGAGCTATTTCAGATGTGTGCACTAGAGCTAATAAGTGGCCTATTAAAAAAATGAAAGTACAGCATTCCTTAAGATGACTTTTAATGTGAGTTTGGCCCAGAGGACTGAGGCTCCTGCTTTAGTTTAGTTTGGTTTGGTTTTATTGAACGAGGAATGCATAAATGTGTATGGGCAATGCAACTGTTGATTTATGCAGAGGTTTTCTAGCCAGCTAGCTAACCAGCCAGCTAATTGGCAAATCTAGCCCTTGGTTGGACTTTTAGAGACAAACAGCATTTATAGCTTTTATTACCCCACACCCACACACCCACACACACACACACACACACACACACACACACACACACACACACACACACACACACACACACACACACAGCTAAGGACAATTTAGAGATGATTTTCAGATTACGACGTTTGGTACAGAACAAGCCTGTGCGTGATTTAAGGGAGCCGGGCTCCCCTTGTCCCCCCCACAATTCGAACCGTCTACTATAAAGAGCATTTGATTTAATTTGATTTGATTTGATTAAAGAGCATTTGATGATAAACATCCATACACGAAAATGCGGCACTAGAGGCACAAATCTAATTGTTGACTGAAGAAACACACTTATCGATGTCAGGTAACTTTATTGACGGATGAAGGAAGGATGAAGGAGGCCTGCAGTGACATTTAAAGCTACATGAGCTAAGGCTAACAGCAGCATACAACAACCACATGAGCTAACCAACTTAGCATGATGCAGCGCGACTTAAGCCTGATTCATGCTTCTCCGTCAGCTCCAAAAGGGAGAGACACACACGCACGGAAGCACATGTTTTGCCCTCATACTTCTCCGTCTCCTGAAGAGTGTTGCAAAGCAATTCCCCGGCAGGACAACAGAGGGTGTAGCGCTGTTCTGTGGTATCCTGTCATGTATCTGGTCCAAGATCGTGTGTTTATATCGTGTTTTTTGTAAATAAGAAACTTTTTAACACAGACAAATTTGTCTCTCATCCTCCTCCACCTCTTTATGCGCTCGCCACCTCTAAACCCACGTTTCCTGTCATTTCCGTCCACAAATAAAATTCTTGCTGCGCATCTTTTCACTCCTCCAGTCACGGGGGAATTAAAAGTTCATGTTTTTGGAGTTTTTTCGTGAGGTATTCTTCAAGCTGCTCCGTGTCTGCCGCTAGTTATCCTCGGCTCTCTTTATGTTTTTGAGGGCGAAATGGTGGTGGTGTAGACGACAGCGGTGCTCTGACCAATCACAAGCTTACGTTGTCCGTCTCGACGGACGGATGTTTAGAAAAGAGAGCTCGACTCCGTCCGTCCTTGCGGAGCTCTCCAGCAGGCCCGCAAGGACGGATAATGGCGTTGCGTGTCTCCGCACTGACGCAGACCCAGAAGCATGACTCAGGCTTTAGACTTAACATGCAGACTAGCAGCATGTAACATTACAGCAGGGATTCCCTCAGTGTGGTGCACGCACCCCTGGGGGTGCGCGAGCTGCCACTAGGGGGTGCGCGAGATGAAAAGTGTAATGGCTGCGGAGCTCAGAGAAGTCTGTCATATGTCACCATTAGCGTAGCCAGAAACTCATTTGTGGGTGGGCCTAAGAAAAAGTAATTGGGCACAATAAATATAATTGAAAACAAGTATATTTTGCGCACGTGCGTGTGTGTGTCTTCCGCATGTGCCCTAGCTTAATAATAACAATGCGCCGAGCTTCAGCGCTCTGGCCTGCGCACGCCGATATGTTCCGTATTTGATCATTTGTAACGATGTTGGAGGAATCTGAAGGTGAGTCATTCTGGCAGATTGTAATTAACACCCTGTCTCATGCAGGTGTTCTGACATTGTAAACCTCACACACAGAACATTGTGGATGTAACTAAATAAATCAAGAAATGATTCCCATCTTAGCATTTTAGCATTATTATATTATTATATTAGCACACTGACTGTGGGACAGCATTCTAAACGTGTCAGGCTATTAACAGCGCGCTGAAGATCTGAAGTTCAGAGAGCGTCTGTCAGAGGTCAGACGCGTTCCAGCGGAACCACGGCTCACGGGTGCACATGTGAGCACATCTGGGCTGGGCAGAAGTTATTTTACGACATTGGTTTAAATAGCGCCGATAACGAGACGCGGTGACTTGAGCGGCTCATGGAGCTGTACTGCACACACACACACACACACACACACACACACACACACACACACACACACACACACACACACACGCACGCACGCACGCACGCACGCACGCACGCACGCACGCACGCACACACACACACACACACACACACACAGAGATTCAATAAGCACATGCGCTGCTCCGTTACTGCACCATTTGTTATTCCAGTCCGCGTGGCAGCGGATCGCAGACTGAGCCACACCATAAAACAGCAATAAGTCGGTCTGAGGCAAAAGTGAACCTCATGGCTATATCCTTTCCATCTTTTCCACTATCGACATTTGATTACGCGCAAGTAGGTGACCAGTTCAGGTTTACGCAGAGCAGAAGGAAGGAGAGAGCTGGCGCCACAGGTTAAACGTTCCTAAACCGTTAAATTGCATTTTTTATGTGCTACCTGGGCACTCTAAATATTTATTTAAAATTAAATCAAAGGAAATTGTAATGGTATCAAATGTTTATTAATTACTATTTAAAAAATGAAAGTGATGGGGGAAAAAGGTCGATCATATTTTTTAACCCTGTCTGTCGAGTGACTGTTTAGCTTGACGTCTGATATATATATATATATATATAGCCATGCCCTGATGTGGGGGCTGGGGGATGCGTCGACATGGTCGGGACATAGAAAGGGGTGTGCGGCAAAATAAATTTGGGAACCGCTGCATCATAGCAACAGCTTAACAAATGTGTGCAAAAGGTGTACAGACTTACAGATACAAGTGGAACAGTGAAATCAATGCATAGCAGCATACATGTAATGGAAGACACTCTGCTGCCTTCACAGACGTAATCCATTTATAATACTGCCCCTAGTGGTCAGTGGTACACTTTGCGATGACCTCAATTTCCAAACTTAAGTTAAACTCAAACGCAGAAGTGTTCCGCTTCGTGGTAAAGACACACAGTTGTTCTAATAACACCTGAGGACCCAAGGCACATTATGACTGAATCCGTGTTACAGAAGGACTGAGTAAAGGATAAAGAACACTAACTGATTACAGTTTAGGGATGATCTAAGAAGATCGGAGCTTGTGACCAGAAATGAATGAACCTTATATGGAAACTTTTCCTAATTGTCCTAATGAACTGAACTTTATTGGAATGTTTACTTTGTTGTGATTTGGTGCTATATAAATAAACTTAAATTAAATTGACATGTAATTTATGTAATTTTATACACTGCATACATTTGCAGCTTTGAGGGAACCCTGATGTAGAGTTTCGGGACAAAGGGAGGCAAAACAATTATGGTGATTGGTAATCTGGCAATCTTAGGGACGACCATAAAACTCTAAAGACAATCTTATGAGACAGTCCTACAGTGTGTGGTGTGTTAGGAGCAGATGGTGTGACTAGAACCAACCCACTAAGGGGTTTTTCTTTATGCTTCAGCTTTAAGAATGCATCACTTCTTCCTCCTTAACAGCAATTAGTACTCTCTTTGAACCCTTCACAAGTGGAAGCACAAATTTTATTTTTGCTTATGATGAAATATATCAGATTATTTTGTTTTTATTAATATTATTGATTTAACACATTACAAAAAACATAATGGACAAACAATTTTTTTCATTCAACATAATGTAAAGTGTTGGATTTTTGGTGTGACTGTAGTTACCTTCCTGGAGGTGGGCTTCCCTCTGAAGAACTCGTGATTGAGAGAGCTGTGAGGGGGGTTAAATTTGGGTTGCAGGAAAATGCAGCCATTGGCTATTGCCTCCAAAGGGGCGGGGCCTTCATAAGGGAAGCCAAATCCAACAAACAGCTAAAGAGAAAAAACACAAATGCCAGAAAATCGAGGTACACAGGCTGCTGTATACAGGTCAAAACAGAAATATCTATGCACACATGTCGGTGTTTCACGAGCGCATCCAGGACTGAGAACTGTTGGCTCACCTTGGCTTTTCTTAAGAGTTGCTGCAGCTCATGCTGAGGCAGCAGGCCATGGTTCTTGACAAAGGCAGGAACCTCTGGGGGGCGCTGTGTCTCATAATAAACAGTCCCGTGAATCTCCATGTAACGATACAGAATTGCCAAGACATTTTCTTTACCCTTTAACACACAGAGAGAAGGAGTTAAGCTCTCAGAAGAGATGTGATGCTGAAGGATCAACGGTGCAAAAGCTGAAAAGGTGAAGGATACTAATTTAGACTAATAAAGTACATCTATTGGTTTAAGATGTGTGTTTTGGCCCAAATGCAGCACCAATCAGCCTATCAATCTTCCGCTCCATCTACACTCATTCATGAAGACATGGAGATATGGGAATGCCTGCAAGAAAAAAATTATTTATATATAAGGTTTTTGAAGCTTAGGACAAAATAATCAGAAGTGAGATATAAAAAATAAAAAAACAAATTATTATGAATTATATAACGTCAGAAAAGGGAGTATTACAGTCAATTGTTAGATAAAAACAAGGATAACAAAAAGAACACATGGGGTGTAATTAGTAAACTTCTAAAAAAAGATAAAGTACGACCACAAATACCAAATTACTTTATGAAAAACAAGATGGATGTTTATGATAAAAAATAAATCGTAAATGATTTTAATACATTTTTTGTGAACATCGGCTCAAATTTAGCTACATTTTTTGTGAACATCGGCTCAAATTTAGCTAAACAAATTCCTAAAGTTAAAAATGATAATACCGGAAAAACCATAAAAGATATTGTGGATAGTATTTTTCTTGATAAAGTAGATGAGAGTGAAATATTACAAATAGCGCAACAGTGTCCGAACAAGACTTCTAATGATTATGTCGATATGAATGTCTCTTGTGAAAAACATCATAGACTTAGTTATTAAACCTTTTACATATATATGCAAGCTATCATTGGTTAAAGGAATATTTCCAGAAAATATGAAAACTACTAGGGTGGTACCACTCTATAAGGGTGGAAATAAGCATGAATACTCTTAATTATAGGCCAATATCACTGCTTCCGCAGTTTTCAAAAATTCTGGAAAAATTATTTGTTGTTAGATTGGAAAAGTTTATTAATAAGCATAGTGTTTTGCATAATAGTCAATATGGGTTTCGTTCTAATCATTCAACTGCAACAGCAATAACTGACTTAGAAGAGATTTCAATAGCAATAGATAATAAACAATATTTGGTGAGTGTTTTTGTAGATTTACAAAAAGCATTTGGATCATGTAATATTATTAGATAAATTATACAAATACGGGATTAGAGGACTAGCACATGAGTGGGTCCGAAGTAATTTTTTTATTTATTTTTTTATTTTTATTTTTTTATTATCTTTATTTCATTCAATAAAAAATTAACATAACAGATACTAAACAATATTCAAAAAACACAATGTATATTTGAATGAAAGGGAGCAGATAGAAGAACAATCTTATTATTTCTGCCCCCTTTTTAAACTTAAATATCAATTTATATTTGTGCAGTCCCTCATCAATTCTTTAAGTCCCGTAACTGTTCACATTTGTTAATTATTACGTCCACATCAATGGTCCGTTGTCATATCCACTCAACACACGTGATTTAATGTGTAGACTGAACACTTTTAGAGTTCTTGACTCTTTCCATTCTCTGTCCAGGCAATTCCACAACTTCACACCATTCACAGATATGCTCATTTCCTTCATTCTTGTTCTAAATTTAGGTTTTTTGAAGATTTCAAATCCCTTCAACGAATAACTGCTATCTCTCTTTTCAAATATATGCTGAATATTCTTTGGCAATGTACCTTTATTTGCTTTATACATTGTATGCAATATTCTCCAGTTGACCAAATCATGAAATTTAATTACTTTATATTTTATAAATAATGGGTTAGATGGAGCTGTACTATGAGTGTTGTCTATAATTCTCATTGCTCTTTTCTGCAAAACAAACAAAGGTTGTGTATACGTTCTATATGCAGTTCCCCAGATTTCTACACAATAATTTAAGTATGGCAGAATCAGTGCATTGTATAGTAATAACAATCCTTCACTATTAAGTAGAAACTTTACGCTATATAATACTGCAATGGCTTTGGCCATTTTACCTTTTATACAGCCTATATGTGATTTCCAGCTTAGAGCTTCATCAATCATTACTCCCAAAAATTTGATTTATTTTACCCTTTGAATTTCCATGTTATCGATTTCTAATATTACGTCTATATTTTCTTTGTCATTAAATAGAATGAAATTAGTTTTTTTAAGATTAAGTGTTAATTTATTTACATCAAACCAGTTTTTAACTTTTATCAGTTCAATATTTATCACATTAGTTACTTCATTTATATCAGACCCTGAATTAAACAATGTTGTATCATCTGCAAACAAAACAGAACCTAGTTTGTCAGACACATTTACCAAATCATTGATATACAGGTTGAACAATTTTGGTCCAAGGACCGACCCTTGTGGCACTCCATAAGCAATATTTCGTAGCTCTGATGTAATGCCATTTATCTGAACATATTGCTTTCTGTTATCTAAATAACTTCTAACCCATTGATGAGCAACCCCTCGTGTTCCATACTGATATAATTTTTGCAGTAACCTTGAATGATCGATAACGTCAAAAGCTTTCTTTAAGTCAATAAAAACACTAATAAAGTATTCTCTATTGTCTATCGCTTCAGATATTTTCTCTGTTAAATCCATTATTGCCATTGTTGTTGAATGTTGGGTCCTGAATCCATACTGTTCATTATGTAAAATCATATTTGTTTCAATAAATTTATCCAACCGTGATGCAAAGACTTTTTCAAGTATTTTGGAAAACTGTGGAAGTAGTGACACTGGCCTATAATTTGTGAAATTATGTTTATCACCATTCTTAAACAGTGGAACCACTTTTGCTATTTTCATAGCATCAGGGAAGACTCCAGTAGAAAGTGACAAATTACATATATAAGTAAAAGGATCAATAACAGATTCTATTATGGTCTTTACAGTCATCATGTCCAAATCCTCACAATCAGTTGATCGCTTATTTCCACAGTTTTTTACAATTTCTCGTATTTCCTCTTTTTCTACTTTGCCAAGGAAAATACTACTGACATTATTTACTACTGTATTCAAATTGTCTTCAATTAAAGTGTCATGACCCATCAAACTCCTCCCTACATTTACAAAAAAAATCATTGAATTCATTAGAGATTTCTTTTACATCATAAATGTCTACATTGTCCTTGACAAAGTAATTTGGTACCTTAGATCTAGTTTTATTTCTGTTCGTCACACTATTTATTATTCCCCATGTAGCCTTTGTATTAGCCTTATTCTTTTCCAATAATTCGCCATAATAATCTTTTTTCCTTTTCCTAATTATTGCTATTAATTTATTTTTATATTTTTTATATCGGTCCACAATTTTTATAATTGTGGAAATTAATAATATAAAATCCTCTATACATAATATTAGTTGTGGAGTACCACAAGGATCGGTCTTTGGACCATTGCTCTTTCTTTTATACGTGAATGATATTGCTTTGGTTTCAAAATTATTCAAGTGCATACTATTTGCAGATGACACTACCTTATTTTATTCAGGAGAAAATATAAAAGATGTTTTAAATGTAGTTGAAAATGAATTTACAAAAATTAAAATATGGTTTGATATCAATCGGCTTTCTTTAAATATCGATAAAATTAAGTTTATAGTTTTTTGTAGTAGTAAAAAAAGTGCTGATGCATCAATAAATGTTGAAGGAATTGAGATAGAAAAAGTAAAAGAAGTTGAGTTTTTAGGTGTTATCATTGACGAACACTTATTGTGGAAGTCTCACATAAATTATATTAAAATTAAAATATCTTGAGCTATTTCAGTACTAAAGACGAAGGAATTGTTGAACATAAAAGCTTTGCATATTCTGTATAACTCGTTAATTCTTCCATATCTGACATATTGTATCGAAGTATGCAGAAGTACCTGCAAAACATATAGGCATTCAATTTTTCTTTTACAGAAAAGAGCAGTGAGAGTTATTAGTGGAGGTGGATACAGGGATCATACTGATCCAATGTTTTCACAACTAGACCTAATGAAATTTGACAAACTAGTTGAATATAATTTATTAAAACTTATGTAAAAGCACATAAAGGAATTCTACCAATAAATATTCAAAAGAAATTTGTAAAAACAGAAAGTAATTACAATCTAAAAGGAACTGATATTTAAAAAAAATGTGAAACGTATCATGATGAAGTAATAAGACCTTAAGTAGGCTGACTGACTTGTTTTGTGTTGGGGGTGGGGGTTAGATGAACGAAATTCTTTGAGTTGAACAGCTAATGTCTTGATGTGAAAAGGGGGCAGATATAAGTTTTTGCTTCTTTCTGCTCCTTTTCATTTATGATTTTTTTGTGAACATGAATTGTTTTAATGTAACTTTTACTTGATTGAATGAAATAAACAAAACAAAACGAAACGGAACGAACGAACGGACAAACTCAACCCCAACAGAGATGGCAATCCACCCCTCTCCTGCTTAGGACCATGGCCTTTGACTTTGAAGTGCTGGTTTGCATCCCAGCTGCTTCACACTTGGCTGCAAACCAGTCCATTGTCTACTGGAGGTCCCGGCTGAATGAAGCCAACAGAATTAGAGTAATCTGGAGTCTTCCAAAACCTTAGAACTCATTTTTTGGACAGAATCAGAGACAAAAAGTCACCCTAGAGTCCAACATTTACTGGAAACAAATCTGAATTATAATCTGTCCTGCAAACGAAATTCTCGCTTCAGTAACACATGATCTTAGTGGTCCTAATAAAACATTCAGAGCATCATATTTCTGAAAAAAGAGCGGGAAACTAGCCTAGAAAGCTAGACAAACCTTAGAAGTAGCAAACGAAATTTGCTCTGCAGGTCGGTCTAGCCACGCTCCATTGGAGCTTCAGCATGTCTACCATTGGCCCTAACAGTTTTGTGACTAGCCAATCACAGTGCTCTATGTTTGTAGAGAGATCTTGGGCAGGCTTAGTGCCAGCACTGCGATGAAGACAAACCACAAATATATAGTTTAGGACTTTGGATGATTTTGACTTGGAATTTTCTTTAAGGAATGAGCAGATAGAGGTACTTAAGTTCTTTATTTAGAAAGAGAATGCATTTGCTTCTTCATCTTCAACGGTGTGTGGTGGACTGCCTTGTTGAATGACAATGACTTATGTCACGTTGTTGGTCACTCTGGTCCTATCGCTGTCCAATAGCATGTGGAGATAGTTTGAAAGACAACCGTATAATCTGCCACTATGGCTGAGCTTTATGGTTAATCGCCTGACTGTATATTGTAACGTCACGAAATGGCCTGATTTTGAGATCCCACAGGTCAAATGCACAGCCAGGTCAACTTACCCCGGTTATGACACTTCCTAAAATCTTTTCCCCTAACAGGAGACTCGAAGTCTGCATGTAGTCCCTTTAACCAGAGCCTACTTCCTCACACCAGCAGGACTGCAGAGATAATAAATGATAAACAATAAACATTTTCTCCTCCAAGGTCCCTCACAGAGAAATAAACTCCTTTACTCCCAGATGCAAGAAGATTTTATAATTAAAAATAATCATTACCTGAACTTTTGCTATTGCTAATTATAAATAATGAAATGTTTCATTGATTTGTGTTTAATGACATATGATTAGTATGTTTACTTGACGAGGTCATAACATTTGCACTCACAAGTAAAGTTAAGTTAATGCATGACACATAAGTTAACCTTTTGCCTAGATTCAGAGTCTCCATCGAAGAGGGTGTGTCTCTGAGAAGCTTGGTAATATCCTCAACTTGTCAACCTGTGGTTGGCTATTCAATGATAACATCAATATGTAAAACCAGTCCACTCTGGTTCCTCTCCAGTTCGAGAGAAAGCTTTAGACCGGCCATCTTTTGCATAACCTCTTTAAACACAAGGATTTTGACACAGTGTCAAAACCTTAAAACCTTTTTCGCACCTGCGAAGCTGAAATAACAAGAGAGTTTCCTGCAGAACAAAGCTGACTCAAAACTCCTTCAGAGTTATTTTTAAGACGCTCGGTTTCATCTATCGTTGTGACCCGGAGACATCTGAGGACTGATTTGGTCGCATCGAGGTTTCTCTACGAACCAGGTGCAGTAGGGTCGTCGGCTCCTGGACATCTCGGATCCAAACGGGGTCTCCAAACGGGTGAGGTAGAGCACAGCGAGATAGCATCTGCATGTGGTTTTGATAATAACAACTTATAGCTTAACACAAACCAAATTCTTTTATATCCAGAACTCAGCTCTGAGAACAGAGATTCTGAATACATTATACTCACACATAGGTTCCAGACTATCCTTTAGTTTGTATCCACTCACAGTAAATAATAGTTTAAACAATTTGTCAAGTCTTAAGTGTTTGCAAACAAATTCTTACTTTGTTTATAAACCTGACTGTTTCTTGAGTCAAAGCGAAGTGTGTACGATCCCTCAATGAATAAAAGAATCTTAGAATCTTCTGACTAAAACAATAAGACCAAGCAGGTGACATTCTAGTTAAATAGAGTATCACCACTTATTGGTCACAAGTAGTGGTAATAATATAAATAGCTTTTCAAGCAATTTACTTAACCCAATTTACCCTCTATTATCATTACAATATCTACTTAGGAGGACTTTCTAGGCTAACAAGACACTACAAAGCTCATAAACGTCAAGAAAATATTGTTAGGCAAACCCCCATGCACGCCTTGCAAAGGTAAAGAGCTGGTTTAGTGATCCACAACCGCATGTAAAACCACTCGGATCTTCCTGGATTCTGAGGTTCAGAGATCAATCAGTCGTATTTTTCACCTTGTTTTGTTAAAATGCTTCAGACAAGAAAAACGTGTAAAGAAGCAGATGGCTGTTTCTAAGAACTACAAGACCCACAACAGCTGCTGCTGGATGCCCCAGTCCACCTACAACAGGGAAATGTGGGTAGGGGGTACTCACGCTGTAGGTTTTGAAAACCAGTGAAAAGATTGTTTTTTAATGACACCCGGTGTGAGGGTTCATTAATGTCTAAGTTTAAAAATGTTTACATGGGCTGATTGCAATGATCCTGTTAATGCAATAATTGTCTTTTCTTGTTTAATTCATACTACAACACCACTTCTGCTGCAGCAGTTTGATGAGCTGAACTGAACTGTTCAAACAGCCACTTAAAAGGAGCAAAGACAAAAAAATAAAAATAAAAAGCCCACAGGTGATGATGGAAATGTGGCAACAGAAGCAGATCTAATGAGCTAGAGCAGCCTGAACAACCACCACCACCACCATCATCATCATCGTCATCATCATCATCATTATGGCATCTGAGACTCTAATGCAGGGGTGGGGAACCCTGGTCCATCGAGGGCCGCTATCCAGCATATTTTAGTTTCAACCCTGCTTCAACACACCTGATTTAAATCAGCAGGTGATTAACAGATTTCTGCAGAGCCTGATGAGCTGCTGAACAGGGGAGTCAGCTGCTGAATCAGAAGTGTTGGAGCAAAGACATGCAGGACACTGGCCCTCGAGGACCAGGGTTCCCCATGCCTGCTCTAATGCAACAAGATGAATTTAAATGATAAATGACCCACACTTGCATAGCACCTCTCAGAGTAAGGACTCCAAAGCTCTTTACAGTGTATCATTCATCCATTCACACACACATTCACACACTGATGGTGATGAGCTACGATGTAGCCACAGCTGCCCTGGGGCGCACTGACAGAGGCGATGCTGCCGAGCACAGGCGCTACCGGTCCCTCCGACCACCACCAGCAGGCAAGGTGGGTTAAGTGTCTTGCCCAAGGACACAACAGCAGAGTTCTCTGTCCGAAGCCGGGATCGAACCTGCAACCTTCCGATTACTGGACAACCCGCTCAACCTGTTGAGCTACTGCTGCCCCACATACATTAAATCCACATCATTTTACATAAATGCATTAAAATCATACAGGCTGGGTGTTTCTTTGTTTTATTGTCTCAAGGGAATATGGTAATAAAATTTTTGCATGTGAAAATTGTAACTTGAAGCCAGCTGAATGGAAAACTTTGGTGTTTTTCCAGCAAACATGGGTGCTCAAAGGGTTGCAGAGTACGTTGAACTGGTGTCTTGCAACTTATTTAATGTATTTGCATAAAAAAAAACATTCCTGCACTTAGACAATTTGACTGAAGCATATACTGCAACTTCTGCAGAAAGGATTGCATATTTTTCAAGCAACAAAAAGTAAAGTAACACCTGGTTCGGCTTTTGGAGAATCAATAAACCAGAGAAACTTACTTGAAGCTGTGTGGATCCATCAATCAGCATGACGACACCAAAGAGAAGTGCAAATTGAAAAGAGAAGAAGACAGATGTAAATCAAACGGGCTTGATGCAGAGAGGGAAACAAACTTTGTTCGAACAATATTTGACATTTGTCTTTTTTTATAGCAGATTTTTAGTGTGGACCTCAAAATGAATGTAGAAGACAACCTCAGCAGGGAGTGTTCTCCCTGCGCCGCGAGCATCCACAGAAACGCCAACGCTATTGGATTCTCACTCGGAAAACTCAGATTCACAAATGTTACACTGCAGCTCAGGTTGCTGTGAGAAACGTGGAGTGCTTTGACTGTGTAGGAACAAAGCTGTAGCCAGATTCAAGCGAAACAAACCTTCGGGGAGGTTCGGCCGAGCTCTTCAAAGCTACAGCAGAAGTGAGAAACCTTGGCAGGAGCTTGGAGGGGAAATTTACCTAAACAAATGCCGTTCTTCTAGCATTACGCTTGAGACCAGATTCTTGGAGGAGGAATGTGTTGCTGTGGGTGTTTCACAGCTACTGAAAGTCATATTTAGAAGTTTTCTCATGAATATTTAACACGTTCGGTCGGTGCACCCGCAGGGTTAGAAGCAGAGGTGGGACCATACTATTATTTTGCTAATCACGAGTTAGTCTCAGGGTCTCCACTGAGTTTCCTGAGTCCCGTGTTTAATGTCCTAAAAATATTATGCCCAAATATGTAATTTCTTAAAATATACATTTGTTTGACTAAATAAGCACCAAGAACAACAGAGCTTCTTCAAAAACAGCAAAGATGCTGGATTTTACAGTAAATATCAACTGCTGCCAAATGTTAGAGGTGTGGACCGCTCGCTTAATCAATACATTGGCAGTAGTCTCTAGTCGTAAGTCGTAATCTGGGGAAAAGAGCTCAGATGTGCCTGAAACAGGAAGTACAAGTCAGCTGGAGGAGAAAATAGCTTCAAAGGCCCAATCCCAATATTCGCACTGCACCCTTCTGTGAAGTGCACATAGAGGAGGTGCGCAGTAAAGCTTCAGGTGTGCTGAATTGGGATAGGGAGAGCCGCGTCACCGGCCACGACGCATGCTGGCATGCCCGTTGCTGTTTGTGCTACTTTTACAAAAATGTCATTAACAACTTTCAAACAACTATTTGACTTAATCTACATTCATTGCTGTTTACAATAAATCTTACTCTTAGTGCGGACTTGGCCAAGGTGTGGATCAAGTGTGCAAAAGGGGCGTGGTCACCTTCCGCACTTGAGAATAGGGACACCCTACGCATTTGCACCCCTGGTCGGGAACGAGCAATTAAAGGTATTGCTGTTTTCTAGCTTTGGTATTTAATGTTTTACTGAAACTCTGTTTGTTTTTGTCTGTGGAGCACGTTGTGACTTGTGTCTGTGAAAAGTAGAGAAACTTCTTCTTCTTCTTCTTGGGCCACATAGCAGGATTTGGACTCTTATTTCCTGATATTTGGACATCTCTACATCTGACTCTGTTTGCTTTGCAACGTGGATGTTTCATCTTCACCAATAACTCCAGCCAGAAGGAGTTCTGCTGTGTAGTGGAGTTGCTAATTCTAATGGTTAGCTTCTGCTAGCATAGGCTTTCTCTGGACGCTAATCTAACAACAGTCTTCCCAGTCTTGAGTCAAGATGGGTGAGTCCCTGAACGCTAAGTGGCAATGTGATGTAGGTCTGTCAGGCTTTTCAAATCCTAGTGTTTCTATCAGAAGCTAATGGTGCATTCTGGTTGTCCTTGGAACTCATTTTTCTGAGATTCGTTAGCCGGAAATGACGCAATGAACTCGGAATTCTGAGCTACAAGCTCATAGGTTTCAGAGGACCCCGAGATCCGAAATTTAAAGATGGCTGCGCCCAGTGATACCAGGAAGTAGTTGTCGTCTTTTTCTCATTTACTGTATATGTTCTGTTTTCTTTCTTTTTGCTATTTAACAGCACCAGTAAGTTGTTTATTGTTGTTATTATTAGTTATGTTGTCGAAAAAATTACTATTGATGCCAAAATTGATCATTGTTTATGGTTTTTACTTTTTCTGGTATTTTTACTTTTAATTTGCAATATTTTTCTGGTTGTATGTGGCAACTGTCGAAGGGCATGCGTGTCACTATTATTTTGACGTGGAGAATACTTGGTTACATAATTCTTTTGGTTTAGTACTCAACAACACAGGCTGCATCCATTTTTTCCAGTTTTGAAGCTGGAACGCAAAACGAGCCCGTTACGTCATTTCCTCCTCGGAAATTCTGAGTTTCCGAGGACAACTGGAACGCACGATAATGAAGGAGATAGGTGTAAGAGAATATTTTTATGTTCAGCCTGCAGGAAAAACTCAAAGTGACCTGACTTATAATCAGAAATAAAATTTCAGTGAAGGGCACTTGAGAAGGCGTGTTTGAGAAGGCTAAAATAAATCACAATTATGCCAAACAATAACTGATTTATAGCTTTGAAACCTTTGAGGAATGATGATCACCTTCCACATGCTGGCGTCTTTACCATACACCACGGCCATGTTGTTGACTTTGTCCCTCTGAATGAAAAGCCTCTCAGTCTCATTCAGCTCCTCGGCCACAAAACCCATAAAGGAGTTGTCTGGAGTGTGGGCTGCCAAGGACAAACAGGGAGGAAAAATTATATATGTGGCTCCAAATCTATTTTCATGACTCAATAAATAAAGGAGATGTTGTGATAATCCAGGCTGCTGCAACAACAAATAAAATAGAATAAAAAGGAGAAGGGGCTGATTCTAAAGAGCTGAAGGTCGTAACTTTTGTGAGCCATTTCATTTGGTGGATTGTAAGAGAGGTTTATTTACTTGAAATAAGGAGACTTTTTATGTTTTTTGATCAAAGTGACACAGCTTTCAGGTTTCAGAAAGTGCCAAAACATATAATTTTAGCAAAGCAAGAAAATCTGCCTCATTGTTGATGTTCAAAGAGGAAAATAAATTGTTTTCAGTCATTTTTGGTGGACTTTGTAATAATTGGAATCAATAAATAAATTTAGACTAAACACAGTCCCGTTTTCAACCAGTTTCACTGACTTCATTGTGTTTTATTACTATTGTGTGTATGCGTTTGTGCGCGCGCATGTCTATATACCATATGTTCATGTGTGTGTGTATGCATGTGTCTGCACGTGTATGTGTTTGTGTATGTATGCATGTGTGTGTGTGTGTGTGTGCATGTTTGCATGTATGCATGTGTAGGTGTTTGTATATGCATGCATGCATGCGTGTGTGTGTGTGTGTGTGTGTGTGTGTGTGTGTGTGTGTGTGTGTGTGTGTGTGTGTGTGCATGTTTGCATGTATGCATGTGTAGGTGTTTGTATATGCATGCATGTGTGTGTTTGTGTGTGTGTGTGTGTGTGTGTGTGTGCATTTTTGCATGCATGCATGTGTATGTGTTTGTGTATTTTTGCATGTGTGTCTGTGTGTGCATGCATGCATGTGTATGTGTGCAGGTGTGTTTGTGTGTGTGTGTGCAGACATGTAAGAGTATATGTGTTTGCATGTGAGAGTGTATGTGATTGCGTGCAAGTGTGCGTGTGCCTGTGTGCATGCTTGCATGTGTGTATTTGCGTGTGTGTGTGTGAGCATGTGTGCGTGTGTGTGAGTGTGTGTGTGTGTGTGTGTGTGTGTGTGTGTGTGTGTGTGTGTGTGTGTGTGTGTGTGTGTGTGTGTGTGTGTGTGTGTGTTTAAGACAGAGTAGCATTGCTTGGCCAGTCGTATGAAGCTGCAGACATCTTTGCAGGAACAGCTGTGTGGTGGCTTCTGAAGGCGTCACTAAAACTAAACCACCTGCTTCTCTTTTTCAGCCACACAAATCAGCTCTTACACCTGTCCACACACACACACACACACACACACACACACACACACACACACACACACACACACACACACACACACACACACACACACACACACACACACACACACACATCAGAGCAACTCTTTGACTTACGGTCTTGCACAGCTAATGAGAACTAAGGGTAAATTCTGTCAACCTCAACAAGGGAATGCAAGCTTGAAACACGAAATTAGACTCCACATACGGAACATGGTCATGTACTGCTGGCCGTGGAGGTTCCAGTAGCCCCAGTTGGTTCTGTAGCCGTGACGAGTGGCGTACTCCTCGTGGTTGTAAGCAGGCTCCGTACCAAAGGTGTCGATCACTCGGATGTGGCACCTGAGACAAAATGACAAAAGGCTCAACTTTGGTAGAATGATGTACTTCTTTTTCTCACTAAAATAATCTACAGCAAACTCTTAAGAAAAGTTGTTTAACAGTTTTAAAGCTTGAATATGGAACATTTTAAAAAGGTATTTTTTTAAAAAACAATACCTCCAAGGGGTGTTAGAGGTGTGCAGAATGACGTTTCAGTTTTTCCTTTAAAAGCTTAATTTTAATTTATTTTCACGTGCACGACACTGGGTTTGTGTTTACATCTACCAGCCAATAGAGGGCACCATTGCGGATTGCCAAACTTCCGCTCGGCACAGCGAGGCGGGCCCTGTGAAAAATGGCAGGCTCGGAAAGTCAAGCAGCTGCTTTTGAGCCCAGAAGATGTCGTTATCCTTCTCAGAAAAGGAGCGACCATAAAAGATCTAAAACCAGAGTGAGTTACGGTGAAGCCTACAACAGATGGACCCAAATAAAACATCCCACGTATCGGCCGTGAACCTGGTATCCCAACACCTTGTTTTATTGTTGCAACTACAACCTCCACACAGTAAATGTCGCTTTGGTGTTCCACATTCCACCTTTAATTCTCTAAAATACAACACCACACGCATTAAAGTTGATAATAAGAAAAACGCATTGATTCTTACTTTAAAACTGTAACATTTCAAAAGATTCAATGATTTGTGTGCAAAATTTCTTGGTAGTGTTTGTGCAAAATTTTGTTTTGAACCCAAACTCTGCTAAATTTATTATTGATGACCCTGGGGAACTCTTTTGGGGAGGCCATGTTGGAATCTCTATATAAGCCAGTGCTTGTTGAATTCTGCTAGTCTGGCTGGCCAGACTCGTCCTCTGTTTAAGTCTGCACAGAGAAAGAGTCTGGTAACTCTCAGGTAGAAAGGCAGATGAGAGGTGGGACTAGCCAGCTCAAAAGTAACCAATCAGAAATGCCGACTGTACCACGTGACATTGTAGTTTTTTAGCTGTAGAAAAAAAAAGGCATCTGGCAACGGCGCTAACATTTTTTTTTAGATGAAATGCTTTTAGCGCTTCTACTTGTTGCGGCTTTAAAGTTGTGTCCAAGTCGTTTAGGACAAAGGAAAGAGCCGCAGCGAACTCCGCTTCAGTCGCCACGTTTATGACAAACTCAGCGTTGTGGTGTGTGACGTACGCTGCTCAATGCTGATTGGCTCGGTTAGAATTCTCAGGGGGTGGGGTTATTTGAATGAGGGAGTTCCCAGACCCTTTCTCTGTGAAGAAGTAAACAGAGGAGGAGTCTGGCATGCCAGGCTAGAGTTGTACACCACAGAAAATGCCAAAAGGGACAGTCTCAGAAGTTGATGGACATCAGCTTTTCACAAGATGAAGACAGTTAGAGAAATGAACTGACTTGTGCTTCCGTAGAGAAAGACCCATGTGATGCTTCATTTGCCGCAAGCCATGGTAGTCTGTGTAGATGAGGTCAAAGGGCAAAGGTCCTGTCAGGGGGCAGCTTCCTCTTCCAGGAGGGACACCTAGAAACCTGCACACAGGTCAAACGTCACTGAGCTTCAGAGAGCACCTGATATGCAAGTCAGAACCTTCACTCTGATGGAAACAAGCATGAAACCAGGCCTTTGCAGGAGACAGGGAGCAGTAGCAGCATCTGTAATATTTGTGTTTATCTATCTCGCTCCTGCTTTTCTTGACACATAAAAACATTTTAAAAGTGGCATAGATTGGTTCCAGAAATAAGTTAATAAATAATAAATGTGTGCAGGTGGATCAGATCAGAGGAAGGAAATTTAAAATCCAGCAGCAATGAGATATTCATGAGTTTAGAACAGTCGTGAGAGAGCCAGAATACAAAGCCGGGATGAAATGACATCATGAAGCGTGTCAGCGCTCTCAGCGAGACAGCAGAGTCACACAAGCCAGCACTGCCAGCGAACGTTTCCTCACAATGGGGAGTCACCCAGTTTGTCTGCATCACATGTTTAGACTCGCACACACAGAGTCCCATATTGGCTGAGCACTCACGGCACCTTTACATGTGAAGTTGGTGCTGTCAGAAAGACGGTTGTTTTTCTGAATTATTTTAGCAGGATCTGCCTTTGCTGTCGTACCAACAGGCAGAATAAAATGCTTCTGATGTGCCAGAAGTGTCCTCTGTATGTGCTCTTCTTCTGTTTGATACAGTACTCTTTACAAGAATTAAAGTAGTAATTAGCCCTCCTTTGCAAATGTTTTAGCTCTGTGTGTTCTTGCATTTCTGTGTTGTAAAAGATTTAAATTTACTTGGTGCAGTCCAAAAAAAGATCACAGACAGATTCCCAGAAATAGCAGCTACAGTACGTAGAATCACCTTGTTTGCAATGTCTAGGCAAAACATGACCAATCAGGGTAAGGCTTTAGGAAACACAACCTTCATGTCATGGCAGACTTTTTATCTATGCTGACAAAATATTATTGGTTTTCTGGCTAAATGCTATCTGTTAGCACTCAATGAGTAATGAGAAATTAAATGAGAAATTAAAATCAATGGTACAATAAAATAGTATAACAAAAAAACTTGCAGGTTTACAAGCAAACACACAACTTACACAATGCTAAGAATGAGTGCAGGCAGAAGCAGAAGCTTATAAGCCCAACCCCCCCAACCCTTTGAACTTAAACAAAATTTTAGAATAGCATACCAATTCCATATTTTTTACATCATATTTGAAATGTATGGGAATATATTCAAATCCCCATTCTTGCTTTATAAAAAAGAATGACCTTTAATATTTTATTCATTTTTTCATTGACTTGATTCATAACATTTAATCACATTTGATTTAAACATACCCTTAAACTTTACCATTGTTGAACAATCTTTTTGCTCATGGTCTAATTTATTCCACACATCAACCCCACAAGAAATACAAAGCTGTTTCATTTTAGTTCTTACTTTAGGCTTTCTAAACATTTTATACCCTCTGAGATCATAAACACTCTCTCTGATCTGGAACAGATACTGAATTTGTTTTGGCATCAAATTATTCATCACTTTATACATAAATTGTGCAGTTCTTAATGTAACTAATTCTCTTAACTTTAAAACGAGTAAAAAGTAAATGTGTATGCTCTCTACAAGCTGCTTTATTTACAAGTCAAATTACTCTCTTCTGAATTACAAACAAAGGCTTTAAGTGGGTTTCGTAGGTATTTCCCCACACTTCAACACAATACATGAAATAAGGCAGAATTAAAGAACAATACAAAAGATATAAAGCTTTTTCATCTAAAAATTCTTTAAATTTATAGAGAACTGCTAATGATTTAGATAACTTTGCTTTAATTGTGTCAATGTGCGGTTTCAAACTTAACTTTTTTCTATGGTTACGCCAAGAAATGTTATTTCATTCACTCTTTCAATTTCTGTATTATTTATTTTGAGATGTGTATCCACTGTAATTGCTCTATTAGTAAATATGATAAATTTTGTTTTATTTAAATTTAAAGTTAATTTATTTAAGTTAAACCAACACTTTCATGCATTTAATTCTTTCTCAACCTTGTCCATTAATGTTATTAAATCTTTCCCAAAACTTAGAACATTAGTATCATCTGCAAATAATATGAAATGCAATGTTTTAGAAACTAAACATATGTCATTAATATAAAGAATAAACAACAAGGGACCTAACACTGACCCCTGTGGGATACCGGTGGTCACTGTCAGTAGCTGTGAATCAGTGTTGTTAATGTGGACATATTGGAGTCTGTTCTCTAAATAACTCTTAATCCAGTCATAGACAACACCCTTGATGCCATATCTACACCATTTTTTTTCATTAATAAGTCATGATTGACAGTATCAAAAGCTTTGGTCAGGTCTAAGAACACCCCAACAGCATATTGTTTGTTGTCAGTTGCATCAGATATTCTCTCCACTAGATCAACAATTGCCAGAGAAGTTGTCCAATCACGTCTAAAACCATATTGCTGTTCAGAAAGAATATCATGATGCTCAATAAAGTCATACAATCTTTTATGAAATATTGTTTCTAGTATTTTGGAGAACTGAGATAAATAGAAATTGGTCTATAATTAGAAAAGTCATGTTTGTCTCCAGCCTTATAGATAGGAATGACTTTTGCAACCTTCATCCTTTCAGGAAATCTTCCTGATTGGAGAGACTGGTTACAAATATGTGTAAGTGGTTTGGCTATAATCTCAATGATTTCTTTTACAACAGACATATCAAATCCATGTGAATCTGCTGACTTCTTACTTTTAAATTTTTTAACAACTGTTATAACTTCATTTTCATGTGTGCCTTGAATAAATATGGTTCTATCTAAATTTGTTATTTTACTCAGCATCAACATCTAATTTAGTTTTTGATATATCCTTTGCCAAATTTGGCCCAATTTCAGTAAAATACTTTTTGAATTCATTAGCTATTTCTTTAGACTGATAAATTTCTTGATTGTCTTTTGTTAGAAAAATATTTGGAAGCCTATTGGTGCCACTACCCTTTTTTATTACATCATTTAATATGTGCCACGTATTTTTAATGTTAGATTTATTTCCTTCCAACAATTTGCTATAATAATTTCTTTTACTAGATCTCATAATACTTATTAATTTATTCTTGTATATCTTGTAATTCCGTTCTGCTTCCTCCGTTCTTTTCTTTAAAAAGTCTTTATACAGCTATTTTTTTCTGCAAGCCTTCTGAATCCCCTTAGTAATCCACGGCTTTTTAGCATATTTATTCTTATCCACCTTATAAATCAATGGACAGTTTTTTTCATAAAGAGAAGTTGCAATATTAAACTTTTTTTTTCCATAAGCCATATTAACATCTTCCACATAAACCTCCTCCCAATTTTGTTCCATTAAGTCGGTTTTAAATGAATTTACTGCTTCTTGACTTTTTAGCCTTGTAACAACCACAGATTCACTTTGAGTAGTTACAGTTGTCCTTTGTACAACTGTGAAAACTGGTAAATGATCAGACATATCGGTAATTACAAGACCACTTAACACATCATTTTCAAGAAAATTTGTAAAAATATTGTCGATCAGTGTCACACTAGTTCTTGTAATTCGAGTTGGCCGAGTTATTAGTGGATACAGTCCCAGACTAAACATAGAATTAATCAAATCTGTATTTGCATTTTGCATTTGAGGACTCAACAGGTCAATGTTAAAATCCCCACAGACAAAACAAAGTTTTCTATTGATTATATCATCATACATATCAACTATTTTTTCTTTAAACATTTCAACACAAGATCCTGGTTTCCTATGCATACAACAGACTAACACATTCTTAGACTTCTCCATTTGTATTTCCACAGATACACACTCCATAATGTTATCCATAACTAATGTCATATCACCCACCAATCTACTTTGAAAGTTTTTATCAATATACAAAGCCACACCCCCACCTTTTTTGCAATCTCTACTTGTGGAAAACATATTATATCCTTCAATTTGAAACATAGACATCCTCCCTTCCTGGAGCCATGTCTCAGAGATTGCTATTACAGTAAATTGATGATTTGATTGCTTCAAACATTGCATAATCTTCACAAAATTTGAATTCAGACTTCTACAATTGAAATGTATAACAGATAATTTACCTTTTATAGTGACAATATGTTCAAACTGGTCTTCAGTATAGTATTCACAATGATTTTGTACTCTAGTGTAAAAATTGTTATCTGGATCAATGTCGTCCTGCATATCCTGTAGTTTATATTCTGTGTAGCCAAACCTTTGCAATTGTAATTTTTCATAACTTGAATTACCAGTTTCTGTTCTTACTGTATTGAGAGTTGAATAATCCAGATTCTTCATATATCTTCTTGTTGTATCATTGATTGATTGATTGAAATCTTTATTTTGAACACAAAAAAAAAGTACAACAACGTAGAATTCAAAGAGACAAATAATTACCTCAAAACAAACAGAAAAAGAAAACGAGCAGTCACAACTAATAACCTTCATGTTCAAAAAGGAGCAGGAAGAAGCATAAGCTTATCATCCATGCGTGTAGTTGGTTGTCTTCATCTTGTTCATCCATGGTGATCCACAGCAGACGTATGTCATTTGTATTGATCAAGTTCTTTAATATCTTTGATGACCATCACTTTTGCCTGCTCCGGGGGACCATTTAGCTTTATCAGTACTTTGCAGTTTCTTGTCCAAGTGTCATGGATCTTCTTTTCTTTTCTCAGGATCCTTGCTTGCCTTGCGATTTCTGAGTTTCTTTTCGTAAGATGCTCATTCACATATACACTTGTACCCTTTATTTTTTTTGCATTCCTCAGCACCTCCATTTTCCATTTTCTACTGGCAAGCCTGATCACAATGGTTGATGTTTTACTATGCTATTGAGCCAATGAGTGACAAGCCACAATGTCTATACTGGATACTGCAATATCTTTGCTGTTGAAAAATTTGATCACCTGATCCTCAAGTGAAGGAGAACCTGGAGAATGAGTGGCAGTGATTTCAATGTCTTTTCCCCTGTCACAGGCTGCG